CTCAGGCAATAGTCGGAATATAATCAAGACTTAACCCGGCCATGATTAATTGAAGAGTTAGTCGGGACCATGAATAAATATTATATAAAACCGATCAATCAAAATGATAACAAATGCATATTGAGGATTACTGAAAATTCTTTACATAAAAAGCTTATATCCCTATTACATAACTTGGTAAATAGTCATGCTTTTTTCACCATCTTTCTACTCTATCGAGAAGACATCGAAACAAACTTTTTGAGTCGTAATTTCAATGATATAGCTTTCGGCTTTTCCAATTTGTCCCGAAAAATATTTTTAAAAAAAATCTCAATCAATGTGCTGTAACTTAATAATGAATGGTGCGATTCCCATCATATTTTGATAGCATCAAGCGGCTATTGATACAATTTTTTCAAGCCATGAATTATTTCATTTCGATAATAATTTTTGGACTAATCGTCGAAAAACAATTTTTTTTTCAATGCCAATATTTCGAAAACTCTATGAATAATTGAACTTTAACGAGTGTCTATGGATACAGCTTACTGAAGTCTATATCCATGAAAAAATCATGAAATTTCATTGAGCCTCTACAGAGACAATTGCAAATGAAAAAATTGAAAGAGTACACACACATACATACATACATACATACACCATCTAAAAATCGCATATTCGGACTTTTTAGACCATATGTAGTTACCCTAACACAAAAAATTGGAAACGTAAATTTGAACGATTACAAAGCTTACATTCGGAAGCAAAAAATTAAAAAATGTATGTCGCGCCGTGCAATAAGTCGAGTTTATCGCATGCTGCGCTTCGCGCAGCCTGCTCGAGACTTGACTTCTGCACGACTTGACATAAAATATTATAGAGCACTCGGTAATAAATTTCGTTTTCAATGAATGTGTGTACAGACCTCGCCTTCGGCTCGGCCTGTAAACTACACATTCGTTGAAAACGAAATTTGTGCTCTTGTACTCTAATGTACTATTAAACTTAAAAAACAATAGACGACTGGAGTTATTCACTTATAATTTATAATATACATACTGTAGAAAATGACTTCCGATTGCGGATAAATCATTACTTTGTTTATTCTCAATCAATCAACATTATTATTCGACGAAAAAATGAAAAATTTTCTTAGCTTGATCAGAAACATCGATGTTCGGGCATGAAAAATCGATGTTTTCGATTAATCGACAAACATCGTCCATCCCTAAATATAGTACAAGCAGTGGACGTTGCCCTAGCGTCTAAGCCGTGCGATGATCCTTTTCTCGACCAGGTGTTCATGACTCCATGTGAACTGAGAGAGGGCTATTGGTACTTCCGAGTAGTTTGGATTGGAGTATTGAGGATTTCGAGGATCTCGCCACTTCACGTTCCCTTTCGATAATCTTGAATTCCTCAAAAAGCCCAGGGCTTTTCGTTTCCCACAGATCCGGATCCGAAGATCCCCAAAGGTCAGCAATACTAGTCGTAGAGAACCACTGTTTTAAAACTGACGCTCTGTTATAGGAATTGAGGTTGTCGGATTCACAGGTCAGATGCGCCAGGCACTTGAGACACATCTTGGTGTAGCTAGAGACTGTATCATGTCTGTAAATGTACTGGTCGAGGCTGAGTACGGTGATAATGGATGAATAGCTTGGGGTGGTTCTAGAAGAAATGTTCCCCGGACAATCTTTCCCGAAAAATTGTTCCCCAAAAACATGAATTCCCTAAAGAACTCCAAAAACGAGCCCCAAAATAGAAAAAGGAACAACAATAAGAAACGAATAAACACCAAATTGTAAGGTCATGAAGATATTTACGAAAAAGCAAAGATCATTAAATATATGTCACAACAAATCGATGAATATGAAATAAAACATTCGAGAACAAGTCCGCGCGAAAAATGTAAATCAATATTAATTCAAAATGATAGAATGTTGACAATGGTTTTCAGATATTTATCAACGTCATTGCGATTGTAAGTATCAACAATAGCTTTGAGGCGAAGATCATAATCATGGTAAGCTTTTTTTCTCTTAGCAGGAGAAGCACCGCTCTCATCAGCCTGTGTAGTGATAACCATTACACGACGGGTGTATCAACACTTACCATCTAGACGAATAATAGAAACATAGAAATTGACACAAATAAGAAAATCATAGGGAACAATTTTCCGGGAAACAAGTATCCGGGTACCGCCAGGGTAATCCGAGGTAATGCTTGTAGAATAATGTGTGGATCTTCTTAAGGGGAGACCGGAACCCCTTTGTCTACATCAAATCTTAGAATTGTGTTTTCTCCTACAATTATTAATTTCTATCTATGAAATTACTTTATCGACTCGATTATCGCATTGTTGAGTCAATAAAGTAGTTTAATGAATAAAAAATAATAATTGCAGGAGAAAACAGAATTCTAAAGATTCATATAAACGCAGGGGGTCCGTTTCCCCTTAAGTAAGTCACAGTGTTGTAGTTTCGCCACATGGAAAAAGGCAAATACAGCAAGGTGAAGGTCACAATAAAAATAATATTGTTTATATTCTACTGTTCTTGAACGTTTGATTGGTTCCTTAGTGAGAAATCCATGAAACACTATACTACATGCACGTATACATATATTCATATAGGGACGGGATCTAAAAACTGCATTCTCGGACTTTTTAAACATGTAATTGCTTTTTATGACAGTAGAAATCGTAAACTGGAATTCGAACAATGACAATGCTTCCATTCGAAAACAATATGCAAGTGATTTCCAATATCACCAATAGAATTTTGTAGCGAATGTGTTACGTTTTCTATGAAATTTTCTCATGCAATTGATTTCTTCATAACTGATCGAATAAAAAAGACATAACTAATATTTTTCATTCTATTTTCATATCCAGTAATTGAAATATTTCATGCAAAACTCCGATTGCATTCTCCCAGAAAAAATTATTTGAAAAAAAAACGGTGTTTGTATGTTTCCTCGTAAACTGCATTCAAGCGACCAAAAAAATGCTGAGTCGGTCATGTTAAAAATATAATCAAGTTTTAAGTTACATGAAGACATCGAGTACATGAGGGAAAATAACAAACAAACCATTCATTCCATTTGAATTCATATACGTTCCTACTCATATACTCCTGCAGGAATATATTTCCAAAAACGTCATAGAAATACTTGAGATGTTATAACACATGAAAGCATGAAATTTCTTTTTTGATTTTCAAAATCATTATCAAAAATCATTCACTTTTGTATTGTTATCCCGTTGCAAGGAGTAATTTTTTCACATAATTATTTTAGGGAGTGTTGCGACTAAGCATTGATGATGTCAAAGGCCTTAAGAAGCTAAAATATTTAGCATTACGTTGCACCTGTGACAAATCCACAAAATGAGTTTTTTACCCCAATATCCTTCAATTCGCGAAAATTGATTAAACTTAAGGATAATTTGTTCCGAAATTGTAAAATTCACCATTTATTCCATTCAAAATTATCCCATGTTGCTCAATATTGTGTAATCATTCACGTGTGTAAGAATTTTTCGGTGGCGGAAAATGATTTTTTTATTCACCAAACGCGGTATGGCAAAATTTCACTTTTGTCCGTCCCCATGTTCTTCATATCGGAGTTAGAAAAAAATACCCTACCGAGGCGGGTAATTTTACTGTACATGGAACAGTTTTACATCCAGAGATCCCTTTTTTTACCGAACGAATCGTAAGATATTCTCCGCAAAAAGTATTTTTTATTGAATTAGAATTTCGCTCCACGATTACCTTTCGTATAGTAAAATTTGCCGCGATTTACTAAATAATTTGCATCCACCTTTTCTCTCCGTGTATACGCAATACAAACCGGAAAATTAGAGTCAATGTAAAAAATTCATATCATCTACTCTCATTTAATGTCGAGTGATGAAATTGATTGAAATCGATTGAAAATTCAAAGACTTCACCCCTCTGCCTTGAATGGGAAAGGGGATATGATTTTTCTATTAGGGAAAAGCGTTTGATTGGCTGTACTTTTTTTATTGATAATTCATAAACAAAGCATCGGAGACAAAAATTTCATTAAAATTTTCGTCTCAAAATGACTCCGCCTAGTTCCTTTTACTATATGCACGATGAGTATCGAGGTACCCTGTATAAATTTACCCGTATGGAGACGAACTCGAAACGTCCATGATAATAAGTTCCGTAATAAATAGGCAAATCACAAAACTTTTTCTCAACAATTTTTTTTTTACAGAAAAGTTCTTTCTGTTGAACGTTGAGAGTGTTGTGACATAAGAGAGGCCCGCAAACGAGTCGTCTTTTTTTACACAATTTGCAATTTTTCATGTCATCACGTTCTCACACAGAAAAACTTGTACGCCATAGTCACCACTTCTTCTTCTCCTCCAGGCCTTCTTCTCTAGGCCATTTATCCAGATACTAGATTGACGTTTTCAAAAAGAGTGACTAATTATAACTATAGAAAATTTTCTATTCAATATTTCTATTGAAAAAGTAAACGGCCAGATAAGCTGAGAAATTTTTTAATAGAATTGGCTGAAAACTTGATAGTTGAATAAAATTTTCTAGCGAATTCGCTTGGCTTTTCTATGAAATTCACTCACACTTGTCTGAATTTCTGCTACTTTTTATCTGTGTGTGGAAGAATTGCCACCACTGAGCGAAATAAGCCATCATCACAGAACATATCTGTATTTCCATGGTGTCGCCTTCTCAGATTTTCTATAAAATTGGTATGCAAATATCTTCCATAGCTGCTCGTTCCACCTATGTCTTGAAAAATCCCAACGACCTTCACAGTCAACTCAAACAAACATTATCCCTCGTCATCGATTGCCCCAATTATTTCCATAACACTTATGAAGTAACCAGGGAAACCTGCGTGCGATGCAAATTTAATGCGTAATCCGTAAATGTCGTCACGGTCCCCTCCACTTGATGCCGTAGGGAGGAAGCAGAAGAGACAATCATTTTTAAGCGGAGTTGATTCCAATTCCAATCATTCGATCCTCAAGTCTCCAACTGCAAGCCATGCGGCTTCTCAAGTGTATCCTGACCCTTGTGGTCCTCTCCTGTGCGGTAACTCCCTCCTTCACAGCTCCAAGAACTTCCAAATCGAAACGAACTCCCGAGCCCGTGGAATCCGTTCCAGCAGTTCAAGAAGACAAATCGGACATCAAGGACGTTACTAGAGCAAAGAAACAAACGACGACATTCTGCGTCGAAATCAAGGCAGGAAAGCCAGTGAAAACAGAATGTGATGAAACCCAACAAGGGAAAAAACCAGAGGCCGTGTTCGTTTTGCCACCGGGAAACCAGCCGAGCGTCTCTTACGTTCAAGTGCCAGTTGTTCACCAGTACCCAGGAATGCACATGAAACCGCAACAGCGACCACAACCACTACAGCCAAATTACACACCAGGATCAGCACCTGGATCAGCACCAGGATCAGCACCTGGATTAGCACCAGGATCAGCACCTGGATCAGCACCAGGATCAGCACCAGGATCAGTACCAGGATCAGCACCAGGATCAGCACCAGGATCAGCGCCACAACAGCCCATTTACAAACCAGGACTAGGACCAGCGCCAGCACCAGGAGCAGGACAACAACCATCCAATTATGGAGCAGCACCATCATCACAGCCTGATTACGAATCAGTACAACCACCACCGCCTCATATAGAGATAGATTTCATCAATGGAATTCCATCAGGCACCATCCAATATCCACCAGGCGCCGTCCAATATCCACCAGGCGCATCTGTCATAATTCCAGGTTCACAGGGTCATATAAGCTTTCCAGGTTTTTCGATAACCCCATCAGGCGTTTCCGGGGGTTCAGGTTTTCCAGCTTCTACAGGTACCTCAGGATCTCCACCAGGATGTCCACCCTGCCCTCCATGCTACTGCCAACAATCCTCTCCTGTCCAACCGTTGCTCTCGATCTACAGGAATGCCCTCGATGAGCAGGCAGCCATGTTGAACGCCGCAATAGATCCAAGGATGATGATCATACCTGGGATGGATCAGAGGAGTGCTGGTATGTTATTAATACCGGGAATGGAGCAGAGGAGTGCTGCAACGTCGATAATTCCGGGGCTGGAGCAGAGGAATGCTGATATGACGACGATCCCGGGGATGGAGCAGAAGAATGCTAATATGGTGATGATCCCGGGGATGGAACAGAGAAATGCTGATATGGTGTTGATCCCGGGGATGGAGCAGAAGAATGCTGGGATGTTGACTATTCCAGGGACTGATCAGAGAGCCTCGGGAACGATGATGCCAATGGATCATATTACCGCAACGATGGGAACGGCACCAAGTCCCATGGGAATAAACATGAGAACTGCGCAGGCGATAGACTCCCTTACGGAGACTATGAAACAATACCATATACCCCAAATACAGAGGCAATCTCAATATCCTGCTAATCAGCCTTACTTCGCCAGGTATGGATCACCAGAAATTACAAATTCTGTTTTGCCTACGGGAAGATTTGCGATGATTCCAGACATGCAGAACATGGTGAGTGTGTTTTAATGCTTTCTTATATTTCGTGAAGAAAATGACAAATCATTTCATAACAGAAATAATAATTTTGACCTATCATTGTCCGGATCGATTATAATCAGGAGTTGAATAATTTTGTGATTTCTTAAAAAATAATTGTTTTCTATTTTATGTTTAGGGCCTATTGCCGGGAATGCAAAGAATAGCGGATCCAAGGTGCTCCGAATCTAGCCATCCTCAACCTCTGGTTGTCGTTCATCCTCCCCCCGGGCAGATACAAAGTTTCAAAAATGAGGGAAGAACCAAGCAGTGGACCCTCAGATCGGTAGATCAGGCTGGAGAGAATTCAGAGTTGCAAACTGAGGTTCTAGGTCCATCAGCACAAGAAGTAGAAGCTCCTGTGCCGTCAGAGGAAAAGATTGAACTGATACCAAGTCAGATCATGAATCAAATGAGAGCCAATGCACCTGCGCAACGGAACACCCGGGAGGAGAACTCTGACGCTAACGTTCAGATGAGCTTCATCGGACCTGGTGGACAATCGTATCTTCTTGGAGCCCCTAAAGGTGAAGTGGGAGAGAAGAGAGACGAACTTACCAAGCGAGATGTCGAAGCCACTGGGAATACCGTAGAATAGTTGAAATTAATATAATCGTAAAAGTATCATTTTTATATGAATTTCTAATTAATAAATAAATTTTGACATAATTGAAGATTAAATTTTTTAAAGTTATCTGTGACCTAGAATTCTTGACAGAAGTCCTGCCGTATAGAATTGAGAAAAAATGTTTTATTACAAACGAAAGTATCAGTTCCTCGAAAATTTACTAAATGAGCATCGGTAGAGAAGAAGGGAAATACAATGAAAATACCCGAGGGATAATTACTCATGAAATTGTCAAGGAATATCAACCTGAAAATCCTAGAAACTTCCATGTAATGTCAGAAGTTGCCTTCAAAAACTCGTGAATTCTGTGGAATCTTCAAGAATCTCGTTTCGAATTTATAAAAATGTTTAAAGAGTATCAGAATAGGCAAAGAAGTATAAAAAAGATGCTTATCTGATCAGAAAACGTTTCCGTCGATTTTTCAGTACTTTTGAAAATTATTTCATCATAATAACTGTAAATCTTTATATTTCTTGCTTGCCCGTTTGTCATTCATTCGCTATTAGAGTATACTTTTGCATTAAGATTCTTCGAAGACAGTAAACCTTCAATGACCTACTCACATCTCGTTTATCGCTCGGCTGCACATGTTCCTACGACTGTCCCTAAAAACATTACCTCACTCGTTTTAACATTCCCCCTTTTTCACATTTATAACGTAATAGACTATTTTACAAAAAAAACTCGCCAAGAACGGGGCCAAGCGTTCTGTTTACAAACAAGTCGTTCATTGCACAGGTGTAATTTAAGTATAGGTGTTTTGCTAATAAATTAGCAATTTGCTTCCGAGTGGATTAATCGAATTAAAACAAAAATTTTAATCGAAGTATCGAAGTGCATATTCGGTTCCTTCTTTTTTCTGTTACTCATTTCAGATTAGTGGGATCCCTCCCGAAATTTAATCTCAGGAGAATTTTAATAGATTTTTTTTTAAAGATAATTTGAAATGAAATTTCTAGTGAACGGAATTTTTCAAAACGTGAAAATCGACTTGTGATCATTCTTTAGAGCCTAGAAAAATCAAGATCAAGGTTGAACTAGGGTCAACATTGACTTGACCTTGGCTTGACCCTGGCTTGGCTTTGATTTGACCTTGGATTGACTCTGGGTGGCCCTAGGTTGACCTTAAGTTAACTTGAGTTGATATTGACCCAACACTGCGACACTTAAGGTCAACGACGTGTTGAACACTTGAAATTGAATATTTCAAGAACAAATAAAGCAATCATCTCCAAATTCAAACTCGATCGAGATAACATTCAAACGAATATTTTAAACCACAATTGAAAAGATAAAAAAATTACATAAAGATAAAAATCAATAAAAAAGCTCACATAAATACATACATACTTACATACATACATACATATATGGGCATGATTTAAAAACATCATAGACGAACTCCTGCGTGCAAAATTAGTCATATTGACACAAAAATCGAAAACCAAAAATTTCTGATTTGACGAATATAATGATTCTATTTGGAAGCAAAATTGGTTCAAACCTATTCTGAACATTGATTAAACCTTGACGAAACCTTGGTTAAATTCTGATTAAGCCCCGCCTATCCTTCGAATAAATCATGATTAAAACCTTGACTAAACTCCGGCTAAATCCTGACGAAGCGCCGACTAAACCCTGATTAAACCTCCATTTAACCATGAGTAATCGTCCATTTAATGCTTTTCAAGGCTACAATTTTAAAACAAATGATGCGATCGCCACTATCTTCGAACTCGATTACGATACCAGTGAAACGAATCTTTAAGCTATAATTGGAAAGATTTCGACGATTATTTTTTGAATGAACGTCGAAAAACTAAATTTTTTTTAAAAAAAAGCGCACGTGCATACATACATACATACACACGGTCTAAAAGCAGCATATTCGAACTCCTGGGGTCAAAATGAGTTATCCTGCCACAAAAAAAATGGAAACATCAAATTTGACGAATACAATACTTCCATACTCAGAAGCAAAAGTGGTGAAATCACGAAAAGTAAATGGCAAGCACTGAATACATAGAGGTTCTGAATACAACTAAGAAAAACCGACGAAAAAATGGCAATGATAAAAATAAAATGATAAAAACGAACTAATAAAAATTTTGAGTCAGCCAGCTCGGTGCGATTTTTCAGGAGTTTGAATCGCGCGCCAAGTTGGTTGACTTGGAATTTTTAATGACTCGTTTCTATCATTTTAATTTGATAATTTGCATTTTTTCGGTCAGTTTTCCTTAGTTGTATTCAGAATCTATGTATTCAGTGTTTGGCATTTACTTTTCGTGATTTCATCACTTTTTGTAAACAGAACGCTCGGACCTATTCTTGGCGAATTTTTTTTATAAAAATTACATTTCGTTTTTGGGAAATTTCAAACATTTTTGCGATAACATATCTTTAATCCTGCAATCCACTATACAGTGTCACAAATTAAAAGTACATTAAAGGTACACTGATCAAAAAATATTTCAGACAAAATTTCAGCATTTCGTGGGGCAAATTTGATGACATTAAGATTTTTCGAATATCAACAAGCTAGGATTTTTCGATACGGTATCGATACTTCATGGTATCGATACTTTTATGTCCGATATTCGATATTTTGTAGCGATATTTTCTTGTTGATGTATTGAGTGTCTCGATATTATATGCTCGGTCTCGGTATTGTTTTTTCATGTCACGGGACATGAAAAACCCCATTTGCGTGGCGCTGCGCGCCACGAAATTGGCGTTTTCAGGTCCCTCAACACGAAAATTAATATACACACCTCGCCATGGAAAACATATCACCCTCGCGTTCGGCTTGGAAGGCAATCTTGCACGTGCACTGATCTAATGTAAGTTAGTATAGAGATCAGTGTGCATGTGGAGGACGGTGATCTATCAAGACTCGGGCATGTAATGTACAATTTCCGTACTGACCTTCACTTTTCCTTGCCCGGGGATTGGTATTGGCCCTTTCCCAAACTAGCAAAATTGAAAATCACTGCGGAAAGATATGTTATGTCCTAACGATGTTACTAGGAGGACAGTGGCGCTTTTCAGATTATTTAGCGCCAAACTTTGAACCTGGATCCATTAGCCGCTAAACCTCTGATGAGGACTCCATCGATATTGTCTCGTTCAAGTGGAGGATAATTGGATTTTGGGATAAATATCAATAAATCCAGAACACAAGTGCTTTAGAGAGCACATTAACACTTTATAAATTAAACTTGTTGAACTCGAAAAACTTTAAACTGTGAACTACACACTCAATAAACTTATGAAAACTCTAAGTAAACTTTAATGAAAACTATCCGAAAAACTAATTGAAGAAAGAAGCTGAAGGCTTGATTGTAGAACAGCCACGGTGGGACTGGCTTAAACTTAAACTTAACTCTAAGGGTTGGGTCCACTGATCTCTATATAACTCACTGATCTCTATATAACTGGATAGCCGATCCCTATGGCAGCCAGTGAGTTTATTAGAAAGGTACGCAGCGCCTCCGGATAGTAGTCAGCGAACTAAGATTCTCTCTAGTGCGCATGTCCGTGTCAGCTGCAGGTAGTGGGGCAGTGGTAAATTTACCGAGAGCATTGGGAAATATTATAGGATATTTTACCGTGTAGGACATCCAGAATAACAGACGAACTTTTGTTAATAATCAGTGAAAACTGACATTGTCTATAAACGCGAAAGGAAGCCGAAGCAAGGAGGAATGTCGAAATTAGTACAATTGTTATTAATATTGTATTATTAATGAATTGTATAATCGTTAATAATTGAAAAAATTGAATTTTTAAAAACTACAAAGAATCGCCAAAGAATGTTATTAGATTTTTTTAATCGTAATTTTTTGCTAGATTTAATTGACGTTTTAGTTTTTTCAAAAAATCAATTTTGAAAAATCAGGATTTAACCCACTGTCTTATGTCAAAGTCCATAACTTTGTTGTAAAGAAAGATTGAAATCGGAATTTTTGACTCAAAATGTGAAAAAAAATCAAGAAATTTTTTGACATATGATACAACATGAATGACCGTTTTTTAAACAATATCCATTATTTATTTATAAAACGGAGATGCTTGAAAAGAAAATAATATGTTGAAAAATGTAATATGAATGATGCTGATTGTGTATGAATTTTTTATAAATTTTGTCACGTAATTTAATGGAAAAATTTAATAATTGAAAATCTCGACATCTATAGTGTGGTCAGTATGAACTTGTAGCCTACTGATGAGCTACTTTAAGGAAATTAATGTATTCAGGAAATTGGGAAACTCAAAATAAATATTCAACTGAATTTATTCGTTCGAAATTTTTTTGTATTTATTAAACTATAATACACCTAGACTGATCGGAATTTATTGATTGAGTATACTATACTAATTTTACCTTTTTCAATTATTATTTACAATTTGGGACGGAGAATGTTTCCACGGCAATTTTTCGAGCACGTGGCCCCCCACTGAGGCGCGCATGCGCACTGACGTCATCTTTAGTACCTGAGCTACTATACGGCAGCGCTGGCTGACACTTCAATCTTCTTCTTCTGTTCAATGTGGTTATATCCTCTCACTCCAGAAGAGGCACGCACCATTTCTCCACCAAATAACTATTAGTTGTGGTTATACCCAATAGAGGGCTGTACCAAATCATATCAGTTAAACTTGCTCCTTCTTCTTCAATTCAAAATAGACAACACAGATGATAAATGGGTAACAATTTTATGACACGACAAACATAATTTCTAATTTATAATTTGACATTATTATCAGTAAGAAACTTATCTATATAAAACATAGCCTTCTTATTATTGTTCAAAGAAACTATTTGTATATTATCTCCAGAATTCATATTCAACTTTAGTAATTCCTGAATTAATGTATTTCTACCTTTATGACAATCTGGACAATCCCAAATAATATGATCAATATCCTTCCATGGGTCACCACATTCACATGCTGAACTCATAATAATGTTTTTCCTAAATAAATGACTATTAAGTAGAGAGTGATTGCTTTTAATTCTATTCCACCTACTAATCGTACCTCTTGCTAATT